CCCACCATGGCCGCCCAGGGCGAGCCCGGCTACCTGGCGGCGCATTCGGACCCGGGCTCCAACAGCGAGCGCAGCACCGACTCGCCCATGCCCGGCTCCGAGGACGACCTGGTCGCCGGGGCGCCCCTGCACAGCCCGGAGTGGAGCGAGGAGCGCTTCCGCGTGGACAGGAAGAAACTTGAGGCCATGTTACAAGGTAGGCATCCCCCCCGCATTCTCGGACTTCCCGATTCAGCCCCCTACTCCTTCCCGGACCTCCCAGTCCGGGGCCCGCACTCCGGCCCACAGTCGACTCAGTTCCCTGGTTCCCTTCCCCGCGGAGCCGGGGGACACCCAGGGTGTGGAGACCTAGCGGGACTCTCTACCCTTCCACGCCTCTCAGGTCTATAGGCACCGGGAACCCTGTGCTAACTTGACCGGCTTCAAGAAAGCTGAAGGCCAAGTTTGTATCGGCGCGCCCAAGTTGCATTCTGGACTTTGGAGATACCGGCCTTAGTGCAGACACCTGGGATGTGTCACCAGACCCACTTGGACCGCACGGAGTATGCGTGATTCTCCCTCCACTCTCTGGCGGGCTTGAATTCTAGATCTGTCTGTTTCTCTCTCCTCTTGTCAGTATCCACTTCCTCCAGCTGAGGGGCCTTGTCTCGCTATTGGAAACGCTCTGCAGATGTCAAGACTTAAGACAGGAGTTCTGCCCCCCATCCTCCACCCCAGAGTGAGAGGGGCCAGGATGGGGGTGAGCAGCCAAAGCGTGGGGATTGTGTTAGGGCAATGGGGCTGGGTTGGAGGACATTGTGTATTCATCTCCTGACAGGCTTATAAAACACATCTCGAGTTACACTAAGTTCATAAAATTCTTCCTGTACTATGGATGTTTGACTATGTCTTTCACAACTTGAGGTTTTCTTTTCTTTCTTTCTTTTTTTTTTTTAAAACTCCCAAGTTTCTCTGGGACTTTCCCAGGCATAACAGCTTTAACCACATCGGACTGGAAACAAACTCTGTGTTTTAATGGGAGGATTAGAGTTCTCAGAGTGAATGCTAAAATGTTCAAGGTGATTTTGACCTTCCTTAAAAATGTTAATTACTAGCCTACCTGTAGCTACAGATGTGGCTTATTTCCCTCATCCCGAGAAATAGGGTAGTTTGAATGTCTGTCATTCTTAAAATACTGTAGAGGACCAGCATTAGTTTCAATAAGGGCGAGTAGTGGATTCATTCAGTAGCTAGTGTCCTTTATAACAAGGGGGGATTGGAGCGTTCCAACTTTTTTTGTGTGTGTGGCTTTACGCATAACTTACTTTGACTTTATCAGTCAGTATATCGCAGTATGGAAGCTATTTAGCCCTCAGTGGAAATGCAGTGGCTTTTAAGAACATTTAAGCAGGTTATTTTAAGAGAGAACAACATGTTTTCCAAAACAATAACTTGGTGGAAACAAATAGCAGGAGTGTTTGGCAGACGTTTTTGGATGAGCTACAAATTTGTCTCCCTTGTCGCTTATTTTTATTGATAAACATCCTAGAACTGGTCATGTCTCTCTCTCTCTCTCTCCCTTTCTCTTCCCACCCTCCCCCTTTAAATTATATAACTTTCTAGGAGAGTTACTTCTATGATAAACTGTTCAAATAAGAATTTTGCAAAGTGGATTTGGAAATTAAAGCCCAGTTGCATTTCATAACCCATTTTAGTTATTTCATTTGTTTTATGGTTCTTTTTGCCTATTTTATGTTTATAAAACAAATTATTGAATTTATTCAGAAAAATATTGTGAAGTTGTTTGGATTTAAACGATAGAGCACGTATTACCTTTTCTAACAAGTTTCCAGTTTGGTTTCTACATGAATTGGGAGTGATGGAAAAGGCGGATCTTATAATACTATGTCTTCCTTAGCTGTTTTACTGGTGCACATACAAATAACAAAGGCGATAGTAGCTTCCAGGAAGCTTTCATGTGTAACCTGAGCTTTAGAAGTATATTTCTTTTTTGAGTTAATTAATTTTCACTTAGAATAAAATGAAATGTGGGTGAGGCATTTTTAAATTTGAAGGCTATCCCTGTTGTAGGTATGGTATTCTGACATGAGATAGTTTACTATTGCTTTGCAGTGATAAGGTTTTATTTACAGAAAGTCTTAACAGAGTCAACATTTCTTCAGCAACTAATATATAGTGAAATATTCACTTTTCAAACCCAAAGAATTCTTTAGTGATTGAACATCCTTTGATTAACTTTCCAAAATTACCAAAAGTGAATTATGCCTTCTAAGAAAGTAAGTTTTGAATATGTTTGACAGAAGAACCCAGTGCACAGTGTACCAAGGCGTTTTGTGATGTGTGGTTTCTAGTGACAAGTTATGTAGAACCACCATGCTTGAAGAAATAAGCCTGGTTTTCTGAACCAAACATAATTATATGCCTCATTGCTTTATACCACATGGTAATAGCAAGTGTGGGCCTATCTGAATAAATCTCTGGGCCACTGTCTGTCTCAGTTTGCCCATCCATAAAATGGGACTAGTATTAGTACTTTTCCTATAGGCTGTTGTGGATTAAGAGATAAGGCCCAAATAAGCTAAAACTTGCCACACTGGTAAATGATGAGAACTTAATATATATCAGTTTCTTTTATTGTTATTAATAATAAATATTACAAAATGGATTCAAAAGATTTCTAGTGCCTATCACAATTTCTGACATATAGTATTTACTTGAATAATGGGAACACTAGAATTTTGCACTTTCATAATTGCAGAAATAAAATAGAGACCAAGATAGGAAGTTTGGCATGTCAACAAATATTCTAATATTGTTAGATATTCTTGGATACAAAACTTTTCATTTGAAAAGTGCCAGGTAAGGTCTATATTTGCCTGGTTGGGTTTTTGATGATTGTGAATTTCGATTTACTATTTTTTTTTTTTTCACAGTCACTTTAAACTATCTGCAGGTTTCCAATTTAAGTCAGGATAAATAAGATTATCTGCCTTTAAGTCTACATAGTGCAAATTGGTGATTATAATGCTTGGAATTTGTTTCCAGAGACAGTGTCCTGGGGGCAAGTTAATCTTTAATGGGTTGTATTTTTATTAGTAGAGAAATTCTTCTACGCAATGGACCAAAAATTTAGTAAGGTTAAATTATGGGCAGTAGGGTAGTGGTCAAAGAAATGAAATACCATTCTTGGATGATCATTGAATACTCAAAGAATTGACACACATAAAACCACCAGGCTGGAAATGTAGGGGAAAATCCCTAGTTTTTCTTTCCTTCTTTCCTTCCCTCCCCTCTCCTTCCCTCCCCTCCTCTCCCTTCATTTCCTTTTCCTTCCATCCTTGCTTCCTTGCTTCCTTCCTTCCTTCCTTCCTTCCTTCCTTCCTTCCTTCCTTCTTTCCTTCCTTCCTTCCTTCCTTCCTTCCTGTCCTTCCTTTCTGTCTAATAACTACTTTAGAATAGCTCTGCAGAGTATCTGACATTTTCGTTCAAATCTAAATGAAGATAATTGATTTTATTAGTCAACGCTTTTGTAAATGGGACTTTATTTTTCAGGTTTAGTTTAGATTTTTGATGGGAATGGCCAGACTTGGAATGGATACCATGGACAGCATTATTTAATGATAAAGAAAAATGTTTTTAATTTAGTTTATACTGATCTTCAAAATTTAGATTTTATGCTTCATGTGAAATAATGATGTTGATTTATGTAAGGCAATTAAATGTGAGTTATGGTTTGTAAAGAGGGAGGGGAGTGGTATAGAGGAAAGTCTGGGAGAAGGTAGGAAATAAATGAGTCAAAAGAGTCAGAAATACAGTCTTTGTTTGCCACAGTCTTGAGAGGCAGACATGGAATTTGTATATTTTTACTTTTTTCTTTTTTTTGGTTGTTTTGCATCCTACTGTTATACTTTTCTTTTTACATTGAAAAAAGATGTGTGCTATTCCTACATAAAATTTAGAAGCATAGGTATTTTCAAAGTTCAGAATCCCTTGTGTTTTATCATAGAAAGAAGGAAGTGTTAAAAGGGGGGAAATGGCCTATTTTCATGAATTGAGGTTGACATCTGGTGGGCTTTTAGGATACTGCTGTTAAAAAAGCCATGTTGCGTATTTACAGCTATAGGCTCAACGGGGATCATTTACTGCTGTTGCTTGAGCAGCAGAACTGGCCACTAAAACAGGTTATCACACACCATTGATCAAAAGTAAGAGCAGCAATTTTGCTATCTTTAATTTGGCAAACGTTAGTGAAGAATGTCTTATAATTAGGTGAACAGATAATTGTTAAAATGTTTTTGTGGGAGTAGGAAGAAATATGAAGCAAAAATAATTGAAAATGGGGGTGTACCGGAAGTGAAGATAAATAAGAACTAAGCTTGATATAGTTTTCAAGACAATGCTTGAGTAAGTCTAATAAACAAAAAAAATCAAATAACTGTGAAGCTTGGTTAAAAGCACAGGGCTCTGGGCCAGATTTGGATTTGAAACTCAGTGTTACCTTTTAATAGGGAGCTTGGGAAGATTCATCACCTGCAGACTCATTTCTAACAGGGGTTGTTGGCAGTAGTGCTATATACTTAGGTGGTTGTGACAATTAAGAAAAAAAGATGTATGTTTAACATCACAGAGCTGGCCATATAAGAAGTGGTGAATACATTAATAACCATATTCATTATAAACCATAGTTCATAAAATGTACATTCTTATATTGAAAATGGAAATCATGTATATTGGAAAATGAATTAAATGTTCTTGTGATAAATGAACATTCACAGCTCTCTAATTATTATTGACCTTTCTGGTAGCTCACTCTGGATGAGTGTGTTTATCCCTTGTAAAGGTGCTTGAGTACATACTGAGTAAAAGTATATGAAACACAAGTGTGGAATTCTTGATTTAGGAGGGCTTTACACCCTCTTTAGTTGTAATTGTTCTTGCCTTGAATGTTTTTATTCTTTGAAAGGTCCTGAGCCAGTCACTTCTGATATTTTTTACTAAAGACTAGCAGCAAAATCAGTTAATCCCCCTTCTAATTTTATGTTGCTCTGAACTTGTCATTCAGTGGTGTCTAGAATGAGTTTTTCAAAGAAAACACTGTCCCTGGGCTAACATGTTCAGTTTGCTCACTTGTAAGGTGGGGACAATAATAGTGTCATCTTCTGGAGACGTGAGCACTGAATGAGAGACGATGCTTGG